TTCGGTTCCCAGTCTCCGCCCCGCCTACGGCTGTTTCCTCCTCTCACCGCCCCCCCCGTTCGGTTCCCAGCCCCACCCGCCTAGGCTGTTCCCTTCTCTCATCCCTCGCCCCACCCGCGTTCGATTCCCAGCTCCCATCCAGCCTAGGCTGTTCCTTCCTCTCCGCCCTCCCCCCCCCGGCTCAGATCCCCCCCTTCTCACACTCATCCTCCTGCCACCCAGGTCACATCTTGGTCTCCCTAAACTATCCAACCCTGTGTTTCATCCCAGTTGCTCCTGCTTAGCATCCTGGGGATGAGTGTTTGTATTCAGACCCTATCAAGGCTGTTGCCTGCTTCCCACTGTGGGGACCTGAATTCCAGTCCTGGCCTTGCCTTGGCTCTTTGTTTGTGTCTCCTCTTCCCCCATCCACACTGCAGTTCTCCTCTTTCCCACCCTGCTGCCATTGCACCCCAGAAACCAGTACAGGAGCCCTGGATGCAGCGTAGCCTGTAGTCCCCTAAGGATCTAGTATCCGGAGTGAGCTGCAGGAGTTTAGTGGTGGCCCACCACGGATATTAATTGACAGCTCCTCCATGGAGCTGGGAACATAGGCTCATGTATCTGGTGCAGTTCACAGAATTCCCTAACACTTGTTCTTTCTGCAGCAAGAGGGAGAGTGTGGTGCACATCTGCATAAAGCAGAGGTCCCCAAACTGTGGGGTGCACCCCCTCAGGGGGTACAGAGGAACATTTGGGGGGTGCAGCAGGGCCCAGATCAGTCCCCACTGGGGGGTTGGGCAGGAGCACCACCAACCCTGCCCCTAGCTCTGCACCTGGCCCCGGCCCCATCCATGACTCCACACCCTGCTGCAGGCTCCGTTGCCTGCCCCCACCACAGCCCCAGCCTTGGGCCCCTTACCCTGTCCATGTCCCCCCTGCCCCTGGAGCCACAGCTCCTCTCCCGGCTCCTGGGAGGGGGGCTGCGACCCTGAAAAGTTTGGGATACTCTCCTCTAGTGGTCTTGAGGGGCTGAAATCTGACAAACCTCCTGCTGAGATTCTGGGTGCACTTTTCCCCACACCTCATTTACCTCTATATCCCCACAAAGTCACAAGACCTCCTTGTCAACCTCCTGGCACTGGTCAAGATGACCATCCGTCACACCTTGAGGAGGAAGCTGGACGGGGGGGGGGGAGTGTCTCTGTAACTGTGGTATATTTCTGGTCCCTTGTCTCGTACCTCTGAGCAAAGTTCCTTGGGCAGTGTCCACTGGCTCCCTGGACATTTTTGAGGAGCAGTGTGCATTGTTGAGTGTTCTCTGCTCTATTTCCTGTTCTAGTTCCCTGCTTTTTAACCTTGACCCTCCCTCCATTTTTGTTTGTTCATTTGTTGCCCCAAGACTTTAGTTGTGGCCTGGGTGAGTGGATAAACCTTTAGTTCTGAGTGGGCCATCCCAGTACCCACAATCATAGGTGCTGACTCTGTGGGTGCTCTGGGGCTGGAGCACCCGCAGAAAAGAAAATAGTGGGTGCTCAGCACCCCCAGCCACAGCTGTTTGGTGGTGCCCCAAAACAGCTGATTGTAGGCTGGGGGAGGAGTCTGGGGGAGGGCAGTAAGCAGGTGAGGAAGAAGCAGAGTAAGGGCGGGGCCTGAGGGAATGGGTTGAAGGGGGGCCCTCAGGGCAGAGTGGGAGTGGAGCACCCCGGGGGAAAAGAAAAACTCAGTGCCTATGCCCACAATGGGTTCGGGATTTTAGTGGTTCTCTTCCCTTCCTCCCTCCAAAATTCACTAATGCTGAGAATACACATGGATTAGTAAAAGTATTGGTATTTTAAGGGCAGATGCAGCATTGCATGCAGCCTAACCAGCTAGTAGCATAGGGACTTAATGGTTTTATTCTTGTTTTACTTACAGAAAAAAAGAATTGCAAGTATTTAATCTTGTGCAACATGTCTTTTTATATTTGAAGAGTAAGACTAAATTGCATAGAATGTGTTTTGTGTTTCATTTCATAAAACTTTTTCACTCTCTTTTGTCCCAGTGAAAACAAGAGGGTATCCCACAAACGGAATAGTAGTGGGTGATGCACTTTGGGAGCTTAGGTGTGTTAGCAAAGCTGTGTGATGTGATCTCAGGACTTGGAATACTAGTGAGGATTGTAGTTTAGAAGAAGTAATTGCAGAACTCTGCTGTGTGGGGAGATCTTAGTATGGGAAGGGCAGGGGTACTGCAGGGCAGAATTGAGGCGCATTGGCCAAGATTTCTTGGATAAATTTGCAGTCAGATGACCTGTCTGAAGCAAACCATTAACTGTCATCAACTTTAAATTCATTCACTCATTTTAAGTACTCCTTTTGTTTTTGTTGATTTAATTGTAATCATATAAAATGTTCATTGTTTATAGACAAAGGGCTGGTCCACACTAACCCTCCCCTTCGAACTAAGATACGCAACTTCAGCTACGTAAATAACGTAGCTGAAGTCGAAGTATCTTAGTTCGAACTTACCGCGGGTCCACATGCGGCAGGCAGGCTCCCTCGTCGACTCCGCGTACTCCTCTCACGGAGCAGGAGTACCGGCGTCGATGGCAAGCACTTCCAGGATCGATCTGGGATCGATTTATCCCGTCTAGACAAGACGCAATAAATCGATCCCAGAAGATCGATTGCTTACCACCGGACCCGGAGGTAAGTATAGACATACCCTTACTTGCTCTAAACTTTTAAAGGGTGGTTTATCCTGGACCTGATGTCAGTGACTGTATTGCAATTCACTTTTGTGGAAGCCAGATCAACTCCCTAAATTTTGTTGTTGTTTTTGTAATAACATTAACAGTGTTTTAGGGTGATTTACAGACATACAGAAAAATAAGGTCCAGCTGTGAAGATTTTACCTTCTCTAAGATATAGAAGGTGGGATGGGAGATTTGGTATAACTAAGGCCCCTGAAATAAAATCTGTTCAGGTGGGTCTTTGCAAAGAGCCCCATTCTAGACAGTACAGCTTTCTGCAAGATGGATTAGCACCTAAATCATTTAAATGACAAAAATAAAAGAACCTCCAAAATGTATTATGGCATGTCTACCTACTTCAGCAACTAATATACTTTGTTTGAATCATGGAAAGGGAAAAATCACTTCCATAGTTATAAATTAATATTTTACCATGGTGTTGAGCAACATCGACTTATTTTTATTTTTCATTTTGTAAGTTGCCTTCGCCACATTTTTTCTATATAGCTACTTTTGCATAAGTATGGAATTAAAAATACTTTTTGATGCATTTATCCTCCCTGTGCATTAATACAGATGTGCTATGTCATCATGGTACTAATAAACCAATTAACACAAAGGTTATAGGAAGCTATATAAGAAACATAGATTGATTTATAGGCAACAAATGGTAACATCAAAAGGGCTTTTTGCAAAGTGTTGTCTCGTTCACCTCCCAAAAAGCTGGAAGTCCCAGTTAGATGGTAAGAAGGTTAATTTCCCCCCTGCAGAATGTTCTATTCAAGGCTTTCTAGCTTTTAAAGGTAACAATTGGAAATATTAAAGTATTACTGTGGCAAAAAAGAATACTTCTGAGTAGTTTTAAAGCATCTTTTATCTAAGTATAATACTGTTGAAGCTACTACTTAGCAAATGAGCATCTCTGAGGTCATGTCTACACAGCAACTAGACACCGCCAGTGCCCTGTACCAGCCACTCGATCTTGGGCTGCAGGATTCTTTCATTGCTCTGTAGACTTCTGGGCTTGGGCTGGAGTTTTGGTGCTAGGACCTTGCAAGGTGGGAGGATCCCAGAGCTTGGGTTCCAGCCCAAGCCCTGAAGTCTACACAGTAATGGAACAGCCCCACACCTTGGGTTGGTTGGCACAGGCCAGCCCCAAATGTCAGGGTAAACACAGCAACTAGAGTGGGGAAAATAACTCGGCTTCCCGTTTCTATTCTCTTGCCTGTGCTGTTCACATCAGTTTTCTTTACAGTGCAAGAGGTAGCCCAACATATAATTTTTATTTTTTTTCCAGATTTGCACTCCGATAGGGCCACTTAATTTCTTACAATGCCTGTTCTGGTATACAAAACTTCAGAAGCATAGCCATGCCAATGTATTTGACTTGTATTACTAGATACTCTCCAAATGTCGATAGGACACAAAAATGGTTAATATGTCATCAGCTCTTTACCAGCCAATTAATTAACTTCTGGGATTTCCCAGCAATTAGAAGCTTGTTTAATTAAGTGCTTGTCTCCTGAAGTTCTCAAGTACTTAGAGAAAGGAAACCTACATTGTTGCTAAGGGGGGTAGTTTTCTTCCCAGATGCAATACTACAATTTATCAGGCATGTGCTTTTTCTCTTGATAATTTTTCAAACAGCTATATTTATATTGGCTCGCACTGCAAAGCAACTGGTCACCTTACCGTTATGTTTATGAAAAGAAACAGCAGCCTTTGGGTTTCAAAACCCAGCAGAGAAACTCTTTGCTCAATAGCAAAAGTATCAATATCTAGTAATAAACTAAAGCAGAAATCTTTCAAAGGTCAAACAGGGTAATATTTCCAAGCTTGGATTCTTAAAGGTA